TTACCGATGTTGCGAGAATTGCCTAAAGATAGCACAACAAAATCATGCGCAAGCGAATTTAAGTAGGCTACCCTGCTACCGGGGCTCGGAAAATGAAGTGGGTATTATTTATCGGAGCCAAGGTGTCACAAAAGGAATAGTTCAATGAATGGCATTCGTCTGGCCAGTCTATAGTAGAGTTCTTCAGAATCTCATGTTCACATACAAGCTCTCATAAAGTCATGCTTGATTCCTACCGTCCTAGCCAAATGCCATTCACATACCCAACTTAGTATGATTCCGATTATTTGATCATTTACTCGTGACCGTAGAATCGCTTCACTTATCTGACTATATATGCGTTTAAATAATATAACTAAACGTGCTTGACCCGCATACCTTTCGTTGTAAAGCTGGATCATCATAGAATTCTTACTCCTATGGGCGCTCAGGCTATCTATAGGGTTGTTAGAATATGGCATCACAAGGAATATTTCATTATTGCAACCGCTTCGGCGGAGGTCCTGAAGGCTAGGATCTTCATAGCTCAAATGATAGAGCAACAGGTCACGTCGTAGAAAGGACGTGAGCGCTCGATGTGTTGTTCTACTCTGCGACGAAGTCAAACAGGCGTCCCAACACAACGACAATAATATAGGCTATTTCGTGGTGCCTCTTAGTTATCTCTTTAGCAACATCTTTGAGGTTTTCCCTATTTTCCGTTTTGACATAATATGAAGGCTAGTATGTCTATGGATATCCCATATTGTATGCCATAGGCATTTGAGTTTTTCACGCTCATCTGTTGTATGAAGAGATTTGACAAAGCCTGCTTCTTTATTTTGATGAGAATCATTTATGAGCGACAGCCTTCGCGTCCGTTTCTTGAAATGAACGTACCTACAGGTTGGACAACTATTTGAGTTGTTGCCAAACTCTTCCAACTAGTCTATTATGCAGCCGTAACTATATATGCGGTTATAGCCTATTAGACAAATTGGGTAGTGGCCCTTGCCATTAAATATTCATAGGAAATATCACATCCAGTATACTCTTGGATAAAGCCTCCAAGATATTCTTCATGCGTTGGGGGGATGCTCTAGTTCGCCATGTTAGTATGGCGGGAAGAATTTGAATCGGCCATTCTCCATACCTATACGCCTCTAAATCGATAGGTTTTCGACACGGGTATTTACGTTATTGCTTTACTTTATATCCGTTTTCCCCACTTTACTTCCATATACTAAGAAAATGTTTTTAATACTACTATCACTACCAATCTCATGACCCCTAGAAACCGCCGTGGAAGGAGTGTGAATGCATCCCATCGGCTCCATCGCGGACTTTATGACGTGTTTATTGATGCAGATAGTCTATTTTATTCTAATTATACGATCCACTTCCACCTGTTGAATCCAAGATATAAAACAGTTAGTTTCTAGCACTGTTAAGACCAAGTCGCTGTCCTAGACAAGTTCTCGATTATCTCATTTCGCTCGTTTTAAACTTTATCCGTTTCATGATACCCGGCTATTGGGTTTGTTCAATATATTCCTCTGGGCTTGTTGGCAATCTTTGACGTCCTGCCGTCTCCACTCTAACGCCCAATTATATAGGCTTTACTCTGCAGGAAAATTAAGCATCATGAGATGAAGGTCGGAGATTTAGAGATGATCCTAGCATTGGGAAGGAGGACGAGAGCCATTAACATTAACACATTTCGACCTTCGTTCGCCATCTGTTGAACACTTTGCCACATGGGAAACATAGTCTTTGGATCACGTTGTCCGGCGGTCCTGCTATTTCATCCTACTTCAACCAAACACCAATCTCTTCTTCGCACTAGTTGTAAACGTTTGCGACCGAAAGCAATAATGCCTTCTGGGGCGCTAGCTAGTAATGCTTGGAATGTATGCCTGCGCCTATGTACCTGCCGCGAAAAGTCCACGGAGCACACTCTCTCTTTAATTGTATACGACGTTTCAGATGTTAATTGCTTGTGTCGACCACAAAAAATAGTTGGTGGAGAATCATCTCCTGCTGTCGTTAACTGCCCCCCTGGAATGCTGACTTCCTGCAAGACGGCTAACTGAACAGGTGTTACTTAGACGTCTCGAGCCCGTCCAGCATTGCTAAAACCCATACGCCTTAGGCCATAGTCAGATTTTCCATTTTCATCAATATGTGCATGAAATCCGATGTAGAGTAAGGCGACATCGAGGGCTGCGTAGCGTTTAATTTATTCAGGTAAACGGAAGCGCTATCAAATGGAGCAATCATGGGTGATGAATCCAACCCATAGAGACCTCCTTCTGCAGATTTCTACTCACCTTCGTCAGTTGGAGCTAGCACGCCCCCTTACATTTATATATGTATATTTTGAAGATTAACCACGGTTATTTTCATTCTACTGTTTGCTCACGCACACCTTAAGACCAACAATGCTTTGCAAGATCTAAGCAGGTGTTCTTCTCGGAGCCTTGACCAGGACGGCTTCCGCTCACGGCCACATCTGTGAGATGGTAGTCCGTGGGACCTACTATCAAGAATATGGCCCTAGTTTCCAGTTTCAAACTCCCCCTCCAAAGGTTGCGGGCTGATCTTGCCCTGAGCGTTTCAACGATGGATTCGTTAACCCTTCTATTTGAGTAGTTTATATACCGAATCTATTATTTTTAAGCAAACCAGGGTAAAGCATACCACCACGAACATCGCGTACTACAAGAAAACCACTCCTGGTGGGGCATCGACCCCGGTTTGTAACGATGCAAAGAAATCGTTCCACGAAAAGCTTCACATGCAACCTTATCCCAAAGCTTTTCGCTTATCTTATCCTACCCCCGGCTCCGCTCCTTTTCCCATCCGTATATAGTTGCACACTCCCTCATAAGTAGCTCGGTAGTTTTTCTATATCCTTTCGTACAAGGCCTATAGGTGTCAATGGAATTCCCAGGTCCCTGAACCCCCACGCACTCCCATATGCCTCTGAGTGGATTCATGCCGCATTCGGACCCATTGTCTTGCCTGCGCCGTTACACGGTTGCTGCTGGAGGTTCAATCAAATTGCAGTGAACAACTTGGCTAGATTCACACGTTGGTCCCGCCATTGAGTATTTGGCTGCAGTCACAGATTTTTCTAGCGCCACTACCGATTCCTCCTCCATTTTCAAGATAGATGAGGCCGGTTTAGACAACGGCGTTTGGTCCGCCACGGACCTTATCTCTATCAACGTCTCTTAGATTGTTACCACTTCCTCTAGCGTCACCAACGGTAACTATGTCCTTTAGTACGTAAGGTTAACTGCAGATACCGGGCATTGAGTATAAGCACTTGGGCTTCAGTGAGACACTTTCACTACGATTTCCTAGGTACGATTCTCCAAGTTTCTGCTTAGAATGGATTGCTGCTTGAACGTCCAAAAGTTTGGTATCATCCAATTGTAGTAGCCGAGAGCAAAACAGCTAGAGCCGAGGATTGGTAAATGTTACCAGGACATTGTAGTAAGTGGATTATCGCCAATGCTCAGCCTAATTATATGACAGCCGATATAACATTTATTCCCCTTTAATTGAGGATATCGACTAATTGTACCCCCATGTTTAGTCATGAAATCATTACCCTCTACTTAGCTGGATAATACAATGGCGCCCAAAATTATCCTCAATACATCAACACCCAGGTTATGGCGGAGGCCCTCAGAGTCTAGCAAGTGAAAAGGCGACTGAGTTCTGTGCACCCATAGCCTCGGGTGTCTTGGTCAGTATTAACAACGATTTGACCTCTTATGATATCCCTGGTTGCGCTGTTTTTGATGGAGCCTAGTCTAGTAGTGATGTCTTAGCGGAGTCTACTTCTTCCAGCCACAGACATGCTCGTGAGTTTTTAGCCTCGCAACCCGGACACTTAACGTCAGATTTTGCTCGACTTTATTTTAACAATACAGGCTTTCTATAGAATATTCCTTCCTTTAAACAAAAAATAGTGATAATAAAATTTAGTAGTTTATAATAATAATTTAAATTATTAATATTAAAAAAAAAAATTTTTGGAATTTTTTATTAAGCTGTACTAAACATTATAAGAAACTTATTATTATAGTTTTAAAGTATAAATTTTAAAATTTTAATACTTAAAATATTTAATTAACTTTTGTTTATTATATATAAATATTAAAATTTTTATATTTTTCATATTTTTTACTTTTTAAATTTTATAATAAATAATTTTAAACATCTAAATTAATAAACAGTAAAAAAGAAAGTAGAAAATAAGGCTATAGTAACACTAAATATGAAATTATTATACATAAGCCCTTAATTCGAAGAGTATATCTAGCAGGCTCCTTATCGAGAACCGTCGCAGCCCGTGCGAGTGGTCCACTAACCTCAGCACTTCGCGAAGAGATATCCACCTTGCTGACTCGTTTCATGTTTACTTTGGAATCTGCATTGTCGCACATGGGAAAATATTTTTCTGGAATTGACGATTCCCATTTTAGCTTCTCTGTTGCACAACCCCACCCCGTATTGCTTTCGTCAAGTAGGAGCCCGGAATTGACCGCGGGGATTAACCGACCCTCCAATTAATAGGGAAAGATTTCGAGACAAAGGTCAAGTTCATTATGGCACCGATGGAGGGAGGATATTAATAGCATGAATTTGCCAGTCATTTTCCGATAATTCTATGATATGAAAGAGACTGCTCGCTCCTAGGTCCAATGTTGCGGATCATATTTGGCATGGTGAAGAAATATTAAAAATCCACAGTTTACTCTACATCATCTTATGTACGTTCGTAGGACACGGACTCTTCCGTGGAATTGCCGAAAGGGGCAAACTCCCAGCTTGGTTAGGGACTATCAAACATTTACTCACCGAATGTAGCCACAACACGCATACACCGCCCCTTCATCAAACTTCCTAACTCCTACATTCTTTGCAAGGTCTTTGTTAGGTTCTTGAATATTTCTGCACATAGGTCTGAAAACCTAACCAGATTTCCAATAAATCGATATATCACGTCCGATATAGTCCAGAGGTTAGGATATCTGGTTTTCAAGTGCTCTCGGATTTGGAAAACCCAGAAGACCCGGGTTCAATTCCCGGTATCGGAAACATCATTATTATCTATTTTTTTGCCCCGTCCGGTTTCTCTTTTTGCTTTTAAAGCCGAGTTTGCGGCGTGGATGCTGTAGAGGCGAGCCACTGAGAGGGCCCACCTCTGGAAATCACCTCAAGATTTCCCGGTCTTTGCAATTCAAAGTCTAAGGTAAGGTGAGTGACTTTGTTTTGTTTCACTACTATGTTTCTAATTAATAACATTATATGAAGATAGAAAGAAGTTGTAATTTCGTTATATTCACCTTTCAGGACTTTCCGCTGGTGCAGCCGTCATCCCACTACAATAGGGCTCTATTGGTTGAGGGAGAACTAGCACTGGGCTGAGTGTTAGAGTAGTCTTGGGTGCTCCTTCGCAGGTCTGGGAGTGCACTTAGCATGCTTAAGAGCCGTATTCTGTCGAATATACTTCTTTTTGGTATTTGGGCCCGAGTTCGAACCATAGCGAGGTTAAGTATTTTTTTGTCTTTCGAAACGTTTCCTCGATGGGCTAAATAGAATACTGCTATCATGGCATTGATGTCCGCCCTTCCAGGCAAGCATCGTATCGTGTCTTACACATCAAACTTAAGCTGCTTGAATTTAGAAAAGACCGAAAGAGAAAAAAACACTGGAATCAGAATTTCGAGAATACAACACCTTCCAATATCCATTGAAAAGGCTTACGATCGCTAGTTAAATTGTGTTCTTAAGTAGGAACACTTGCTAATCATGCTGCCTTGCGGTGCTCCGGATACCGGATTTGGTAAGTCGAGAAACCATAGCTATATCAAGTGTCATATCACTAGCATCAAATCTCAATGATAGCCGCCTTCATGATTATTATTAGCCTTTTTGAAGCTAGCCGAAGAAACTAATTTTTTTTTTTTTTTTTTTAATGGGCCTTTTCCTAGAAGATCAGCATAGCAATGCTATTGCACAGCCGCGCTGTCAGTCCGGACAAGTGTAGTACATTATCTAGCGTTGCATCAGCATTTAGCCGTCGGGATAATAGTAAAAGATGATCTTAATGGGACTTCTCGAAGAGAGCAATGATACAAAGCCCGGACACGCTTAGTAACTATTGCTGAACAAAAATCATCTGATAGATATGTCAGGGTTATTGGTATATCAGCGCACTCGAAATACGGAACGTGTAGAAGTTGATTAGCCACAGCCTAATGATAATGCTCTCCGTATCGGCACAGCCCTAGTTATACATAGTTCTTACGTGTAAATACGAGATGACATGCACTACGAAGAACGCAATTCATTGTTCTGAGCGAATTGGCCAGAGTACGAGGCTTTCTAGCTCGACGTCACTAAATACTACCTCGTATTATATGACCCACACATATCACATGCTATTGGCCATTGCAGCACGGTGTGGCATGGACCAAAACAATTGAGAGAAGACACCAAACCTAAATGAGGCAACTGCATGCCTTGAAACAATACCAAGTATGTGCTATAGCAAACCCAAGAGGAATTCCTCTGGCACTCACCCGAAATTTCGGTAGCATGTAGTATATGCTCAGCATCAGTCAGTCGCCCAATGACCAAATAAACTCTAAACGCCACGCTAGACGCGGATATCCTCCACACTAGACGAGAACAACAAATGCCGGAAGGAGAAAAGAAACGAAAAGCTAGCCCGGCTAATCAAGATGATCCATAGTCGGCTCGCGACAACACAGCCATCACCAGACCGTTACATAGCTAACCTACTAGGAAAAGAAACAAAGAAAATTCCACGAGCTCAAGACCCCCCCGTCCCCTTCAACCCAGTGATCCGCAAATCTTAAGCCACACTCAATCACAGTACGAATCATGTTTCGGCGCCATCTCGGAGATTACCAACTTAAGGATAATCTCGCTGCACGTGATAGAAGGCTTCTGCACAGCATGCCGTCCGAACGCGAAACACTGACCACGCAAGCATCCCAGCGCCTAGACCAGGATAAATAGTGTGATAATGATGCCTCGTATTCGTTCGATAAGGCGATAGAATTTAGACAGTGGTGTTGATAGAATCGTGAAACAAAACCCAACAAATCTAGCGAGCGACGTCAGCGTCTCAATGCAAAGTTTGCTAATAATATGCTAGGGATGTGCGCGTATACGTACGTGGACCCTTGAATATCTAGCTCGTATTCCCCGGATTCCTTATTCTGGTCAAGAAACAACATCGTTCGAAGTGCGGCTTTGCGGCACGGGAGAGCATTATGAAGAGGGTGCTAATGATCAGTATGAATGGCACCTGCGCCTTCGCAGTCCTGGCAGGTTACTTGGCCGTCTTTGCAATTCCCACAGCCTGCGCCGTTGCAAGTGTCACACTTAACGGAACCGTTGCCCTGGCAGCTCGGACACTGCATTGCGGGATCGCGGAAAGGCGGGCGGATAGAGCGGAAAGACGCTGAGCTGGTATAATTAGGAGGCCAATCAGGTTTCTGACTTGGCCGAGGGTGCAGGATGCGGGATTCCTTCGCCACCTGGTGTGGCGTAGGGGCGTCGACAGAGTGTAGGCTGAAGATTTTCGGAAGGTGTAGGACGGAGAAGTGGAAAGAAGATCAAAGATAGGTGGGTAAAATTGGTGAAGACAGAATCGAATGCGCAAGAAGTGAGGAATGGCAAAGGAACGCGGAACCGAACGTGAGGCTTTGAAACAACAATTCGTTCTTGGACGCCGGCTATCTCAGGCTTTATATACCTGAACCCAATCTTGGGGGACTCGTAAATAGTGAAGCGGCTTAGCCACGCAAAAAGAAACAGGCCAATCACCTCAAGGCGCTCCTACTCTCCGTTGGCTTCCCTACCCACGCAAGAAACGTGGTGCCATTGCGTCGGAAATTAGGCTGGGGCTTTCAAGGCAACCAAAGATGGAATTGGGTGAGCAAACGGCGCGCACCAGACGCCGCCCACTGTGGCATGGCAGCGCTGGCACCAGCCTTCTGCAATAGGAAGGCTTGTTGGGCTCTAACCCTTGTCTACAAAGCATTGTTTCTCCCACAGTGAGGAGTATTAGCTACTGCTTTAAGAGGTCGGCCACAAGCAGCTGACCAGTTGCAGAAGCCTTTGCAATGGCATCATAGAGCGAGACTTGTTGGAGGGGGGTCCCTGGCGGTGCCTTGCTGCCTCAAAATTGTCCGGAACATTCAGGTCCGACACAGTGGACCTCTAGCGTGTCCAAGCCGTCGATTAGCGAGCTAGGATACCCTATTATGACCCAGCAACGTCATCCAGGGAATTTCCTGCTTCATCCTCGTGCTTGATGCAATGTGGGGTGAGCCTCGGTCGGCCGTGACGCGGACGCGGACGCGGACGGAGGCGGTGAAGGAGAGCCGAGATGGAGGGCCAACAGAGTCAGCACGGGATGGAAGGACTGGGCGGAGGACTGTGAGGTGGAGAGAGTACCATGGCTGCAATGAGGACCTGATAAGGCAAACACACACGTGGCGGATGCAAGGACGTTTAGGAAGAGCCGAAGTGGTGGGTAAGGCTGAATGCTGGTTGGGCAATGCTGCTATAAGGTTATTTGGCGACGGATGCTGCCTAAAGGCCTGACATCACTGCTGCAGTTGTCATTATTCCGCCCATCCTTATTTGGACCCAACTGCCACCGTCTGTCGAAGTGAGCATAGCAGAGTGCCTTCGCCAACACATTGATCCAATGCTTAGCGAGGTGGAAGGACCGGGTGTTGCGCACAAGTTATAGTGGCTCTTATGATCTCGGGCAGATGCGACTATCATATGCCTGTTATTAGAGCTCCTCCGGGATGGATGCGGATCCTGGGTCAATGCAAATCCGGACGTGGTCGATTGCGTGCATGAAGGGTGAAGACAGCACGCCAACCAAGCCCCGATCCTTAGATTACGATGAAAGGGCGCGTGAGCTCGCGCATGCAGGTATCGATGCTCCAATCCAGTGAAAGGCCTTGGTCGGTTGCAATTAACTGTTCCAACATTCTATTGGCTGACTATGAAGGCTTTACGGGTCCAGTCATAATCCTCCGTAGTCGGCAGCAAAGATACAGGATATGCCTAGGCTACCATACCATCCACGACAATAACGCAGACCCGGTCTCGCAGGCCAAATTATCCAATTGCCCTGGTATATTATCTACAGCTTTGCCCTCGGCCTGGAGCTTGGTCGATCGAGATAGTTCGGCCCATCATAGATATCTCTTTCCACTGCGCGTGCGTTTATCTATCGATCGTTACACAATTGTCTCTTTCTCAAACACACCGTCAGAACGAAGAACACTTACATGCTGCATCCCTAGTTGGTCGACTGTCTCTACGCCTAGGAGGCGCATGCACGTCTCGGTCTCTGCTTTGAGTACTACAACATCTTCAGCACGGACCAATGACAGCCCGACAAGAACCAGAGATTCCATACGGTATTCGTAACAGACAATGACTTACTCTTTAGCACCCGTGCAACGCCTTCCTTACCACCAGCCCCGAGTCCGTACAAGGCTGGTCGACCGATTCCAACCCCCCTAGCCCCTAAGCACAGGGCTTTGATAACATCAGTTCCTCTCTTAATTCCTCCGTCTACCCAAACTTCGATCCGATCGAAGACTTCCGGGCAATATTTGCGGATTTCCAAGAGAGTATGTACCGCTGGCGGTGCGGTGTCTAGAGCTCGTCCACCATGGTTCGATAGGATGACTGCCTTGACCTGTGGTGCATGCAGGCTTGCTAGATGGGCATCTTCGTGGGTCTGTATACCTTTTAGCACAATAGGGAGGTCTGTATGCTGCGACAACCATGGGAGTGTTGTCTTCCAGGTCAAATCAGCCGCAGTGCCCCAAAAGAGACTCTGACCAACGCCCATCGCCTTCTGTGGGGGAGTCTGCGTGCCTGTACTCATCTTTGAAGTCGATCCATCTCCCTGCACAGCTGACCGTAGGGGAAGGATAGATCCTACGTTCTTGCTTCGTTCATCTTCCTCGCGTTTGCCCGGTACTGGGGCATCTAGTGTCAGGCAGATAAACTTAACGGCAGGCAGCTT